AGTGCTACTGACTGAAGTGTCTTTAGGCCATTCCCAAAAGGGGAACATTAACCGTGTTCTTATGCAGAGTAGAATTGTAATTTTAAATAGGCTGATTCATCAATGTCATGCTCATAACTGTGCCTGAACGGCAACAGGGAACTGCTGCTTTTTCTTTCCTCATCCTTACTATCGTCATTTTCCTCTACTTTTTTTGTATGTTTGTCACACTCTTGTGACCCGCTATTTCCGGGGTGCCTTGATAGTCGAAGCAGACTTTGTGCAGTTGAAGCTAGAGAGGTGAGCAGAGTAAGCCTGATTCCCTGTAAGGGCTTCTCTGTTGACATCCACCCCATGGCGCTCATATGACCTTATGTAGTTTCGAGCGCCGAAAAACCTCTACTAATACAAAACAAGACCTGTTCAAGCGTGTGGTTTGAGGGCGCCGCTGGTAGGTCCTACTTTTTTTCTTTCCCTCTGTCTGTCTTCTTTTTTCACAGCACTAATTAACCATTACAGGTATTGTGTCGACGTACTTCTCTTTACTCAAACAAACAAAAACCTGTTCATTCTACTTTGTCATCTCTATCTCTTGGAGAGAGGACAAATAGCATTGCAGCCTGTTAGACAGTAGAGGGCAACATGTCTTCCAAATGTCAGATTCACGTAATCTTTACACATACATAAACACAAACACATATGTGCCTGTATAAGTATGCACACACCACGGGTGGGTAATTGGCGGATGCTCAGGTGTGGTTTGCTCCTTCTTTCCTCTATCAAACATCTGTTGTCCTCATCTCTCCTCCTTTTTTGTGTATGTTACTTTCTTGTAACACTTCTATTCTTTGGCACTTCTTTGACCTTATTTTGTTGCAAGTATTGTAAAACTCTTACTTAACAAAAACACACAACCCCACACACAACACCTCTCACTCACATGTGCACTTGCATCTGCAGTGACATGTACACCCATCCATTGCATGCAGAAGATGTAACTTCCTGGGTAGGGGGAAGTTATTTTATCGAATATCTTTGACTGGCTGCTGAGATGCTGTATCCCATTCAGTACCTGTGGGTCCTGACAGACCCCCCAGGGCAGTGCTACTGACTGAGTGTCATTAAGCCATTCTTAAAGGGGGTACATTAACTTGTTCTTATACACAGTAGAATTGTAGATGGACTGATTCATCAATATCATGCTCATAACTGTGCCTGAACTGTGACAGGGAACTGCTGCTTTTTCTTTCCCAATCTTTACTGTCGTCATTTTCCTTTACTTCTTTTGTATGTTTGTCATATTGTTGTGACTCTCTATTTCCGGGATGCCTTGAAAGTCGAAGCAGACTTTGTGCTGTTGAAGATAGAGAGGTGAGCAGAGTAAGTCTGATTCCCTGCAAAGACTTCTCTGTTGACATCCACCCCTTGGCGTTCACATGACCTTATGCAGTTGCAAGCACCGTAAAAACTCTACTAAAGCTAAAAGGCAGGGGAGAAGCATCCCGCCTCTTAAATGATCTATATCGTGTCAATGGGACATGAGACATTTATAATCACTCATTTACGTCCTCTCCATTTCTGTGTTTACCTTCATGTCCGTCTTTTGTCTTTTTCTTTCACTCTCTCCTCCTTTCTGTCCCATTCAGTAAAGATGGTTGGCAGGTGCTTTACTGTAGTTTGTTCCTTCTTTCCTATCAAACATCTATTGTCATTATTTCTTAGTACGTTACTCTAGCAACACCTCTAATCTTCAGCTTTTATTATTTGATTTATTTATGTTTCGAGTGCTGTGAAACTCAAAGTGTTACTTAATCTAAAAATTAGAGATGGCTGATGAACTCTTCTTTTTCAATCTTATCTGTATTTTTAAAATGTGCGTGTGGCGATCATTATGCAGATGTTCTTGTCTGGTCTTATGGCAATCTAAGCCTTATTTGCATAATTCATTCCTCATGCCTGGAAAGACTTGAACTGAAACGTTGCTGAAATGTTATAACATTGATGGCAGTCTCTGTGGATTCTGTAAATTTATGGTAATCCCAAAAAGATCCATGTGCAACTGATGTACAGAGGCAAACATCAGAAATTGAAACTGCTGACAATTTATGTTTGTAAAAAGGTTTTACACCAATGGATGGTGGATGGTTGGAGGGTGCCACTGGTGGGTCCTACTACTTTACTTGCCCAATGTTTTTTCTGTCTTACTTTTTCCCACTCAAACAGCACTAAATGACCATTACTGTGTCAGTGTGCTTCTCTTTACTCAAAGGAACAAACAAAACCAAGAGCTTTAGTATGTATGTAAATGTTTAGCTACATTTGTTACTGAAAGGAAAACCTTTAATTGCCCCCCCCCCCTCCCTCTCCCTCTCACACATACACACACAAAGCAAGACGAAACAAAACGAAGACTAAACCGAAAGCAGTCTATGTACCCTAATGTTGCCGTGATCTGATAAAACGCATTTTCTCCAAATCAAGGTGTTTTTTTTGTGTTAATTAAACAAACAAATAGAGGGCTCTCGTGGCCTAGAGGTTAAGGAGTTCGCCTCTCATTCAAAGGCCCCGGGTTCGAATCCGGGTAGCCACCGAAACATTTTCTTCTCTAAAATTGTCTCCTTTCACCTCCATTCCTGCTCTCTA